TTTTTTGTCCTCTCAATAATCAGAGAACCGAGTACGGGATCGATTTAAAGTAAAATCTGACTGATTCTGACTAGTCCGGACTCGTACGGGATCGCAACTTATATATCTATATATAATCGTACAGAGACAATTTACTTTAACCTCCTTATAGCTAGCATCCGATTTTACATATTTTGAAGGAAACGGTGGATTCTATTGCATTTGCAATTATAGCAGCGGAGTAAGAGCGCGCTATGGGAATGATTTCACAAATATACGCGGAGCTGTCGGGCATAGCATCCATGGGCGCGCCTATGTCAGCTTCTAGTTGAATTGTTGAACCACAAGCCAGAACTACTCCTATGCTTGAAGAACTGGTTCCCAATCCGGTTAATGCAATAACAGCTTCTTCCAAGCCATTGAAGACATGCTCTTTGTTAGGTCCAGCACCTGTTGCACTTGCTTCTGCCTTCGTTTGCCCTTACTAAGTATAATTATCCTTTCTGTGTTGCCGGAGAAGAAGGGCTTCCGCATGTCAAAGGTATACAACACTTATTGTGCACATCACTCCGGCTACGCCGTCCACAGTATTTTTGTGCAGAACCCACGTCGAAATTTGCAAAAAAAATGCATAGTGCAAACCGAGTTTATTAATAAGCTAGTGATAGGAAATTTGAAACATTTATCTTAAATAAAATGTGAATCCTTTGATTACACGTGTATGTTAAAGTGTTTGTATTCGGGTTATGCGTTTGGACAGAACAACCGAAAATCGTTGTACATTAACTAAACCGGACCCAAGTTTCTCGATAAGGGGCAAAAACATTCTTTTTTGCTCGTTTATATAAACAAGTGGATACAAATATACTTATATGCGAAGGGCAAATTTATCTGTTTAAATGAACACCACTAATATTTCCTGAAAGCACACATCGATTTACGTTTTTATCTCGTCTCCGCCACAGAATTGTTTTCGTACAAAATTACGCAAAAAAGCGTACTCATTCGTTTTAAGGCATGCCATTGTTACGAATTTCGAAAGTTCGATAATACGATTCGGATTGCAGCATACTATTTCTACGATTCGGAGCAAAATCCGAATACGAAAGAGTTGCAGAATAGGGGTGTAAAATTAAGGCTCTGGATCTGAAAATTTGCACAATCATTTCAGATTTAAGAATCATACGATGTACATACATATTTGCATATTTATTTTCAATTTTGTATAGTTATAAAACGCTGGAAAACTTAAAAAAATTCTGGCAGGCGTCAGAGAATCTGGTTATTCCAGTTTTCTCTTGCGGGTTACAGAAGGGTGAGAACTCTCCCCAGACTCAAAAATTAAAATTATTCCCACAAGAGATTATTTTGCAAGATTTAGCCGATTGGGTATTTGAACCTCAGCCTGGTGTAATTAATCAAAACCACTTGAAGGATCGATCAATTTCGCGTCCACGCACTGTACTGTAGTTAATATTTTGTCCGGAGTATAAATCGCGTCGTTATCTACTGTCGTTTCTAAATATCCACAGGAGCAAGTAGAAGAGGGGAGTAGCGTTCGCAATAACAATAAATAAGTCTCAAGGCCGGACCCTAGCTAGAGGATTGTTTAACGCATGGCGTATTGAGTAGAGTACAATCTTTCCCAAATACCAAGTTGAAGTTAACTACCAAAAGCAATGCATGTGGTTTTTAGAATAAAGAAATATCCAGATTTTTTAGACCACGGAGCACCCCGATTTTCGGGGATCATTACTAGTAATTATTATTCTGGGTCTCTGCTTGCAAGCGCTCGAACAAATCAAACCTAGCTTACCAGCCAGTAGTAAAATTTACGTAAACTGGTTTCTTAAGGCTAATATAAACTTATTTGTATTTTTTCACTAACGAAAAAACTTCCTTAAGAAAAGATAAATAAATTAGGACTAGAACGCGTCGCACTCCCCTCCATCACATTTAACCCTTAATTAGGCGCATGGGGTCAAAGTCATTTCAAGTTGAAAAAAATGGCTTGGAGTGCTTGGAGCGTGCTCGCGCTCTGTCTAGTTTCCTAACTCCCCGCAGGGTACGTAAATAAGTCACGGCCACAACATCGGCGGGTACACTTTGTTGCTACTCTTTTAAGCGCTGACCCCAAGAGACCACTTATTTATTTTAGTATCTAAGTTTGAAGTCAAAGTTATGATTTTCTTTCTCAAAGTTAACTATAATAATTATTAAGAGCTTTAATATTTATGACAATGTACATTTCGTTTTATTTATTTAGTCACGGTTAGAACATCGCCGTGTACACATGTATCGCTACTCGCTTGAGGGCTGACCGCATGCGCCTATTAACGTAACATTTTTTTGGGGAAGTAAGTTTTAATTTTTTTTAAGTTTGAAGTCGAAATTGTGTTTTTATTTTTTCAAGTTAACGATAATAGTGTATGTACTTTAATATTTTTGTTAATACACACTTCGTTTTTTTTTTCATTTCGGAAACTCCTTTTATAACACTTTTGTCGGGGTCACTGGGGACTAATTTTGTGATTTTCTTTATGCGCCTAATTAACGGTTAACCCTATTGTCCGCTTTATGAGTTTATAGATCCGCGATTGATTTACTTTATGTTTGTTTATTATGCAATTTTATTAGTTACCTATATGCTCTTTATGTACATATGATACAGTTATGAGTTATATTCGGAATGTATGTATTTAATTTTTTTTTTGAATTTTTAAATTCGCAGATATTATGCTGGAGAAAAGCGAGTTAATTATTCTAAATGTATGTATAGTAAATGAACTTAACTATAAAGCGACAAAGCCAAATACATTTTATACAAAGTTTTTATGATTATATTACAAAATTATTCAACATTATTTCTTAGGAAGGTATATAATTTTGATATAAAATATATTAGATGCAGTATAGGGATAAGTCTTTTGTTGACATGTAAGTGGAATTTTAAGTGACTTTTATGTAACGAGGAAATGGCAAACGGTCATTTAATACTTAAATTGTTACACTGACTAGGTTGAAGAGCAATATACATATGTATGCATACCTAATTAATATATTCTCTTAAATTAATGTACAAGTTCTATTTACATACATATTATTAAGTTGGTGTATTGGAACAATTCAAGATATAATACAATGTGTTCAGTTATATCTTTTGAGATAAATATGACTATTTCTGACTTAATACTGTAACTTATGTCCGTTATTAAAATTCAGAAAGCTTTAAAGCAGAGATTGTTCTAGCATGATTTTGTCGAAGCCTGCATACGAGCTGATGCATGCACCTCATCAGCTCCTCACCGCCGTACTTGAATAGCTCGGCTGGCAGGCCGTCAGCTCCAGCAGCTTTGTTGTTTTTCAGCCGCGTAATCGCTATTCGTACCTCGTCATAGTCAGGCGGTGGGACAGCTACTCCATCATCATCGACTGGGGACTCGGGTTCGTCTTCCTCACTACTTTCAGCGCTGCTACCATTCAGTAGGTTATAAAAGTGTTCCCTCCACAATTTAAGTATATTCTGGACATCGGTCAC